TTAAGCATCCGGCCACCACCTTCAGTGAGGTAAATGATAGATCATTGAAATTCATAACTGCTGAGGAATATGCCCTGTCGCAGAACCTCACCCCTGTTAAGAATCAACACCCGGACTGGAGAGATGAGAATCCGAACAGGAAGCGGATGAAGACGTCACAGAACCGAGGTCCGATGTCGACTTCCACCCTGAAACTCGGAAGACCGGACTCCGCACCTCTGCAACAACCTGCAGGTAAACCTCCAGGTAATTGGACTCCTTTTAATTTACCGAGGTCACAAATCTTCATGCAGATTAAGAATAAAATGGACTTACGACGTCCGGGTCCAATGAGAACTGCTGCTGCTACCAGAGACCATACAAGGTACTGTGATTTTCATCAAGATCACGGTCATACAACAGAACAATGCAATAGTCTGAGGTCCGAACTGGAAAGCCTGGCGCAGAAAGGAATGTTAAATGAATACATTCAGAGAAATGAATAGCCACGGTTTGTCAGGGAACAAGGGACGCAGCGTGAAGGAGTCCGCAATCCTCCAAACAGGCAAGGTGTGGGATATCAGCAGGCCCCACCCCCACTCCCACCACCAGCTAGAATCATACACATGATTACGGGGGGTCTGGAAGCCGGTGGACTGAGTTCCAAGCAGCGAAAGCTGTATGTCAGAGAGGTTAAGCACCAGAATCGAGCTCAGAAGCGAAAATTTGATGATGCTGAGTGGAAGAATCAACCCATCACTTTCACATCTGCTGATCTCGAGACAGTTGTCACACCACACAATGATCCACTAGTCACTTCTGTCACGATCAACAATTGTGAAGTACAGCGTGTCCTTGTTGACACCGGGAGTGCACCAGACATCATGTACTTCCATTGCTTTGAGAGTCTTGGATTAGATTCAGCTCTGTTGCAACGATATGATGGTCCCATTTACGGGTTCAACAACCAACCAGTTCCAGTTGAAGGAGTCCTCACCATGAAGGTTGCATTTGGAAGTGGCCGAAGTTATGTGACCCCTTCAGTTCGGTTTCTAGTAGTCAAGATGGCGTCCTCGTTCAATGTTGTCATTGGTCGACCCACACTAACTGAGATTCGAGCTGTGGTTTCCCAATCTCATCTCTGCATGAAGTTCCCCACTCCTACGGGAATAGCCACGCTGCGAGGCAACCAGGAGGTAGCCCGGCATTGCTACATCACCTCGGTAACACAACCTCAGAAAGGCAAGACTCAGACACTCGAGATTACTCCCAACCAGATTGCTGATGATCGGCAGGTTATGGGTGTTGAAATCGTAGATAACCGACCAAAGGATGAAACCAGAGCTGCTCCAGTCGAAGATGTGGAGGAGGTGCAGATTGATGATAGAGATCCGAGCAGGAAAACGCAAATTGGGACTAAATTAAACCCGGAGGAAAGAGCAGAGTTAATAGCTTTTCTTCGGGCTAATAAAGATGTTTTTGCATGGACTTCAGCAGATATGCCGGGAATCCCCACTTCAGTTTTTCAACATAAACTCAGCACCAATCCCCTCAAGAAACCAGTAGCACAGAAGCGACGCCTCTTCGGGGGGGAGAGGTTAAAGGTTATTAAAGAAGAAGTCGAAAAACTCCTACAAGCCGGCTTCGTCAGAAGGGTAGATTACTGTGAGTGGGTCGCCAATCCGGTGTTGGTCAAGAAAGCAAACGGTAAATGGCGAAT